TTTAGCGTCTCTAGCTTAAGGTTTTATAGGGATTTTTCTTTAATTTCGAGAGACGTTTTTAAATTTTCTAGGGGTTTTACGATTTTTTCTATTTTTCTTGGGATTTTTGGACGAATTTCCTATTTTTCTAGGCCTTTTCTTAATTTTCTAAGTATTTTCTTAAGTTTCTAGAAGTTTTTGGAAATTAAACATTTATAAATATTTTCCTAAGGATTTTTGGACTATTTTTGTATTTATTTTCCAGGAAATTTAGGAGCGGGTATTAATAGGTTGTAGTGTAGGTAGGCTTGAAAATAATTAATCTAATCTTCTAGTCCCAATTTGATTAGAAATAGGGTATTTTTTTTTTTTTTGAAATATTCTAGTAAAGCCTTAATAATCTTGATAAAAATAGGATTTCGAGAAAAATGAACCGCCTCGGTCCCATCGGACGCATTGCGCGGGCGACATAGGGAGAGTCATGCCCAGGGGTAACTTGGTAATTTTGAACAATAACACCCCCATGGTCCTAACTTTTCAACAGTATGTCCGATTCGAGTGATTATTGTATCAATGGAACATTCTAGGGGTCTACCACGGGTCTACTACGACTTAGGATTAGGTTTTGGAAGATTCAGGGACAATTCTATTGGGTCTAAGTTGACTATGGTTCACTAGGGTGTGGCCCTTTGGACCCAGAATTAGGGTTTTTGAAATTCCTTTAGCCATAATATATATGGGGTGTCTATACATACAAATTACATAAACTATGTTACTAACAAAGTTTCAATATTATTGGCAAAAACAATTTTCATTAAAGTTTAAACACATATTCGTGGCATGTTAGTCCGCGTACATGACGGGAAATTAAGAATTCCATGGAGGCATTTATTTCTGATATATATCATTCATGCGATTCAATGGAAATTGTAGTAAGAAGCTCTATAACAGGGACTGTACACTATATAATACAGAATCCGATAATCATTCAAATAAGGTCACACTTAGTCCTGGTTGTCAAATGCAAAAACAATCCAATAAGCAGGTATAACAAAATTGAGGAAAGCTTTTTTTTAACATCGAGCACAATCAACAAATATCCTTAACTAGGGGTGCGAATGCGTGAGACCCAACTTGACTAGGTATAGCTATATCTTGGACCGACTCGACATGATTTAAGCTGGCATGGACTGGAGCAGACCTGGTTTAGGTCATGGTCAAGGGGACCCGGACCGAACCCATCGGGTCCACAGGTGGACCCCACCCATTTCCCACCCCTTTCCTTAACGACGTGTTTTTTATTTAATAGCTAAAAAAAGGTTGCAGTATGCTTGTATTAATAGTAGATGGTATCTAAGAAAAGGGCTGGAGTTGTGACGGTAGTATCTTCAGACTCAGTTACTACATTATGGTATCATTTTTATGGCTAAAACCCCAATTTAACACCTTCAAAATGTGACTTCCAATCTATTAAAAAAAAACGAGCCATTGGTGAGAGTTTAAATGTACCGCTGCACACACTTCAATTACCTGAAACGGTCTCGCACTAGTCGTGCCCACTAAAAGCATACCTAGGAAATTACAGGCTAGAGTCGCTAGACAAGGCCTCCCCGTCATTTGGATAAGGACGCCGGTTAGCATGCGGCTAAGCCGCATATTGGTGAAATACAGGCTTGGCAATAAATATATAGTACATATAATCTTTAGCATGGAGATCACGAATATGGAAAAAAATAAATTTTAAAAATTAGAAATAATAATTATATTAAGAAAACATTTAGACCATTAATTACAATTATTTTTAGATGGACTACCTATTTGCATCCATATTTAAGATGGATGCTTTATAACTCTGGACTGCATATTATAGAAATACAATCCAACTCGAATGAAAGAATTATTCTTCTGATAAATATATTAAAAAAATACAAGAAGTGTCTTTCTAGGTACAAGGAAAACCTCCTAGATAGATGTGAAAATATACAAGGAAAAGTAGTTTATGCAGGTAGGATGTATTTCATACATTTATGCTTTAGGCAGGGGCATAAACCATCTAGGTAAATTTTGAAAACTAGAAATAATAATATATTAAGAAAACATTTGAACCGTTAGTTACCATTGTTTTTAGATAGACCACCTATTTGCATCCATCTTTAAAATGGATGCTTTGTTCCTTTGGATCGCATATTGTAGAAACGCGGTCCAGCCCACATGAAACAATTGTTCATATGATAAATATATTAAAAATTACAAGATGTGCCTTTCCAGGCACAAGGAAAACCTCCTAGATAGATGTGAGAATATACAAGGAAAAGTAGGTTATGCAGGACACGATATATTTCATATATTTGTGCAACGGTTGTATCATAGTATAATGCAATGACACTTCTAGAAAAATATTTTTGTAGTATTTGTATGACCCAAAATTTTGCACACACACTCGCTTCATCTCAATAATCAACCCACCCCCAAAAAAACGGTCAATTTGAGCCCTAGATATGGTCAAAATGAGTTCCCTCTAAAAACGAATCGAGACCATTTATTTGGTGAATTTCAATATCTTAGCCTTTATAAACTCAAAATCATTTTTTTATTTTTTTATCATTGTTCATCTAATGATAATAAAGCCATATAAAAAAATTGGAAATGAAAAATTCTTTATAAGGCCTATATCTAAGCATCTCACCAAAATGAATGGCCTGTGTTAATTGGGCTAAAAAAGTACTTTCTAAGTTGTGTTTTCAAATTGTTATTTTTTGTGATTGTTCATCAGAATGAAAAGAGTGTATATTTCAAATTTTGGATCAAACAAATGACCATAACATAATTTTTGAAGGTTCTTGCATCATATTACTATACAGCCGTTGCATGAAATCATTGCCCCATACATTTATGTTCTCCTGAGACAAACCATCTAGAGATGGACGTAAGCAAGTGATGGTCCCCCTTACCAAAAAAAAAGAAGTGATGGTCCCTCCAAGAAAAAGGTCAGATCAATTGCTTTAATATTTCCTTCTAAAAAAGATCTTTTTTTGTTTTTAATTTTTGTTTTACACATTAATGACCTCTAAAACCTCCATTTTAGAGATTATACAATCCTTAAAAGTCAGGTCAAAATTTATTCCAAAAATGAGTTATTAAAGGGAGCCACATTTTTACATGTGTTCAGGGCGGCATAGGAACCATATCCAAATATACAATTGCAGTCATTTGCTAAGATGTGATAGAGTTTGTACCCTGAAGAAAGAAGGTGGTTTGAACATAATAAGGATTAGAATGGTTAACCAGTTGGTTATGTGCAAATGGTGGCGGCATAGTTTGCATTTGAAAAATCACCTTTAGTTCGAAGTTCTTTTGGCTAAGTATGTGATTGATAGATTTAATGTTTGGCTTGGAAGTGGACGAGGTAAAGAGGTATCTCAGGTATGGAAAGCTATTTACAACTGTAGGCCGATGGTGTTGGGCTACTGCAGATGGAATATAGGTTGTGGTAGCCAAGTCTCTTTTTGGCACCATAAATGGTTGGGGGATTACTCATTGAAATCGGTTTTTCCAGACTTATATGGGTTAGTGACCCGACCTAATCTGAAAGTTAATGAAGATTTAGAAAGAAGGGGTCGTCTTACGTCATAGAACATTTTTCTGGCATATGGTCATTTGAGCAATATCCGTTTATCCCAATGGTGTGCTTTGATGAAGCTACTAGATAAAGCTTATATCTCAATGAATGCAGTGGATGAAATTATTTGGGAGATCGATAGTGATGGGGTATTCTCTATTAAATCGTGTTACAATCTCCTCTTTCATGATTGGTGGAGATGGTCATGTCCTCAGATTGCCTAAATTTGGAAATGGCTCATTCAACACAAAGTTCAAGCCTTTATTTGGCTAGCATCATTGAATAAGATATTGACCATTAATAATCTGATCAAAAGGAGGAAAATTTTGCCAAAGTTTGTTTACTATGTAAAGTAGATGGGGAATCTTGTGTGCACCTTCTCATTCATTGCTCTTTTACTGTAAGAATTTGGTATTGGCTTTTTGGGGTTCTAGGGATTAGTTTGGTGCTTCTTCAATCTATTGAAGGGATAGTCTCACAATTTTCTATCTCCCATATGCCTGAGATTGGCAAAACTATTTGGAAAATATCGAAATGTGTCTTTCTATAAGAAGTTTGGAAGGAAAGAAATAGAAGGGTCTTTGAGGGTAGTTCTTTGCCTTTTGAGGGACTATTAATTACTATCAAACAATCGATTTGGTCCTGATTGTCTATGACAAAAGAGGGTTGGAGTATCTCCAAGGTTGATGTTATAGCTAATCTCAGAAATCTTTTTCTTCTCGGGTGTGTTGGAAGTAGACCACAGTTTTTGGACCGCACCTTCTAATGGAAGCTTGAAGCTTAACTTTGATGGTAATTCTTTAGGTAACCCGGGTGTAACTGGGATTGGTTGTGTTGAGAGACTATTTGGGTAATATTCTCTTTTTCTATGCCCGTCTGATAGGGATTAAAACTGTAAATTTTGATGAATTGAGTGCTCTATTGAGTGGGGTGAAAATTATGGTTGATAGGAATCTTTGTAGAAATTGCTCGATTGAAGGGGACTCTTTGAATGTCATTAGATGCTGCAAAAAGGAGTAGAAAGTTCCTTGAGAGTTTCGCTCCCTATGGTTGCAGGTCATGGATTTGGTGGAACCTTTGAGAGTCTCTTTCTCCCACGCTTATCGTGAAGCTAATTCTTTGACTAATTCCTTGGCTAAAAGGGGTGTTTCCCTGCCTTCTCTTGTCTCCTAATGTAATTTCTTTTTCTTAGTCATTAATAAAAGCTAAGAAATTAAAAAAAAATTGCGGTCACAAGAACGTACATATTCTAAGTTTTAGCGAGATAAAACTATATCAAATTTGACTAATGGCATTAGTAAAACCGAAAGACACGAAAAATTAAACTGAAATGACTATGATAAACAAGGAGTCGTCTCATGTGAGATAAGCATATAGGTGGGGTTCAAGAATGAGAGAAAAGTTAAAAGATGGATGTTGAAGCCATTTGCCTTTCACAATTTCTCCAACAGTAAACTGATCCATCATAGGGGGCTGAAAAAATCAAACCATATACCAACTTGCCATGTATAGAAAGCAAGCCCCGGTCAAACATTATTCCTTTTACAGCTGCTTTCTTTGCAGTAGAAAGAAAGGGAAATAATTTTAAGAAAAAATGAAATGATCAAACATTGAGGCAATGATTTACCCCCCCCTTTTCAAGAAGTCCTGATTGAAATCATCTGAAGAAACATTGCCTTTGCCAAAGGATTAGATGCAAATTGACCTAGCACCGCAATAGTGGCTGTGCTGCTACCAATCTTCTCGATACCCCTAGATATCATACAAATGTGGCTAGCTTCTACAACAACCATAACACCTCCTCCACCCGAAACAGTGTTAACACTCTCAGCAATCTGCTTTGTAAGTCTCTCTTGCACTTGGAGCTTGCATGCATGGAAATGAACGATTGTTTGCAAACTTGACCTATCTAATGCTTCTGCCTCCTCTACCATATAGTAACTCACATGCACCACCCCATGGAACGGCAGTAGATGGTGCTCACATTGAGACCAGAATGGCAAATTTAGCTCAGAACGCATCCTCACTCTCTCACTTTCACCTGATTCCTTGATAATACAATTTGGGTTTGGCACCTCTGAACCATAGTGAAAACCATTTCCTTTCATCTCTAGAGTCGATCTTTTAAACTTCATCAGCCACTTCACAAAATGGCGGGGTGTGTTTACAAGTTCTTTCCTCAATGGGTCTTCACCCAGAGCTCGAAGTATCAAGGTCACAGCTGCAATCATAGTCGAATGGGTGGCACCCAACTTGGCCAAGATCCGTAGGTTCGATTCAGTAATGGGATTGGGCAAGCTTGTTAGGCCATGCCCATTGCATTCAGGCATCACCACAGCTTGAGATGGACACCAAGAAGAGGCCCTTTTCCTGTCCAGAGCGATGGCACCTTTGAATTTCACAAGGGCTAAGAAATCAGACCAAACATCACATGCCTTATCCTTGAACAATCCCAAACCTGAAAAGACAGAGGTAGATGCCCAACCATCCATATCTTGAGCAATATGGTTTGAATCACTTGTTTCAAGATCAGAGGGGAACTGGATATGCCAGCACTGAAGGGCAACAGCAACCCCTGATGGCCTGATGCTCTCATACAATGCGGAGCACACCTCATCGGCAAGTCTTTGAGGGTTTTGGAGCCTCTTAGCGAAAACATCTGCCACTCTAGAGAGCTTGCTCAACCCCACAACTTGTTGTTTTGATGGGATGTAACCAACATGGCACTGGACCTTAAATGGAAGCAAACAGGACTCACAATATGAGAAGAGATCAATGCCTCGAACCACCACCAGCCCACCGACTCCTCCAGCGTGACCTATCCCACTGCCCACACCAGCTTCGGGAAACAAGGCACCTTGCACTATGTCATTCACCTGCTGTCTGTAACCTGAAAACCGCGATTCCGGTGCTCTCCGTCAACTGGTGTTAGGCTAGGAAAAAATTTTATTGATAGAAGCGAGGAAGTTGTTATTAAGGCTCTCTAGCTATAAACTGCTATCATATTGTTCATCATGAAAAAAAATGGCAAGTTATAAATCTCCTCTTATATGGTAAAAGAAACGAATAGCAAACGCAAAATGAAATATATTTGCTACTAATCTGAACTACAATGACAGAGGTCATGCGGCAACTTAAATAGGGCTTGGAAAGACACAGGAAAGAAACGTCATACATATGCATGTGTTTCTTGTAAGAGTATAGAAATATCAAACCAGGACAGACTAGCAGTACATGGTGACGTCTTATAACAACAATGTCCTGTTGATCATGCAGTGTTATCATGACTGCATGATCAACAATGAGTGTATCAGCAAAAGAAGAAGCAGAAGGAAAAAGATCCCAATAATGCAGTTGTTCGAAGAATGTTTTTTACCATAAAGCAGACAAGTGTTCCGAATAGATGAATTTGGGATCTTTTCAGCCACCCTCTGCGGGAGTGGGATTTGAATGGAAAGAAAGTGAGAGGTAGAAATCTTAAGGCCACTTTAGGATGTTTTAACCAAAATATTTTGGGAGAGTTTAAAGGGTTACCCAGGAAAATTCTTCAGGGAGTTCAATGGAGTTCACTTAAGCACTTGAGAGGAAAGGAGGGTCAGTATCTATTCCTTTCTTCTTTTCTTTTTCTTGTATTAATGAAAGAAAGTTGGTAGTTGATATCACATCAGAGGCTCTATCTTATCTTGCCTTGGTCTGTAAGAATCAACTTTTAGCTGTTGAGCATTCAATTTGCTACGGCTTCAAGTTGCTATGTTCATCTTACAAAGAGAGAAGGAATTAGGGGACCATTTTGCGCTATCAGCGCAACTACACGTGGAGGTCAAGGGGGTTGTTCCAAGACTTTCAGGCCCCATTTGGATGTACTGCATATTCACCAGCAAGTCTTATCCATTTTTAGTGTAAAACCATCAAGGAATTTCTTTTGTGAACCCCACAAATGTTTTCACTGTTTTTAGGTGTTTTCTGAAGAAACAGTGTTGTGAAATGGGGAGCTAATCATAAGTAGCCACGTATGAACCAAATTGGGGTCCAAAGCATACTTATTTTCCTTTATGTTGCCTAAGCACAAATAGTGGCCCATCCAATGTTTTTGACTGAGCAAAATGAAGAGGTTTTTGGCAACCATGTTTTCGTCATTTATGAAGAAGTGATCGTAGGTCAGGTGGATCTTGAAGTGCCTGCTGCATTGGTGTGTTGAAGTGTCCAGTCAGGCTTGGAGCATTTGGAATGAATAATTATAGAAAAGCTGCATTCCAGAAAGAGACAAGAATCTTTAGACAAGAATCTTTTCTTTCTTCACTTAGCTTGGAGCCTTGAACTGGTCTGTTCACTACAACGAAAACAATTTGTGGATCAGTGACTCACTTGAGGTTGACATTTCGAACCTAGCTCACTAATGTTGAGATAATCAAACACCACTGGAATCATCACTTAGATGATACATATAGGCTTGATTAAGAGGGGTGGGTTAAAAGATTGGTTTGGTTAGGAACTTCCGACCCAAAGCCATAGCAAGAACATATTGATAGCCTAGTCTTGAATGCTTTTTTTTGTTTTTTTGAAAGTGCTAACATTTTCCTAATATAAATGCAAAGGTACAATAGAGAGACCCCCAAGGTGGCGCTAGATAAAAAACCAACTAGGGCGGGTAACCCCACAGGGAACCCAGAAAGAACATTGTAAAATCTAAGACTCCTAAGAAGAGCTGGCAGGTCCTTTAAGATGCGATCGTAATCTTCCACAGTCAAGGCATTACAGGAACCTTCTTTGGCAAGGGAGTCCGCCTGAGAATTACCCTAGTGCCAAACGTGACTCCATGAGATCGAAATCCCCGAACAAACATGGGTAATTTCTTCGAAAATAAGAGCCAAGGCCCATGCATAGGGAGCTACAGCCAAGGCCCATCAGATGACATAGATGGAATCTTCTTATGCAATGAGAGGACAAGTCCATTGCAAGGCGTATAATCACAGACCTTCTAGAAGCCCGAGGGCTTCCTCTGATTGGGCATCGGAGTGACTGATCAATTTGGAGAAGGAAGCAAGAATGTGGCCCTCATTGTTCTGGAAGAGACCACCTATGCCTGCCTGGCCGGGATTACCCAGGGAACACCCATCCAAGTTGAACTTTGATGGATCCCGAGGTGGGGGGCGACCAGGAAACCCTGGGTTACGAAAGGTGGAAGAGGGGCTGCCAATTGAGCTGGAATGCTGATCGATTAACATCTTTTAAGACTTTGTGGTTGGATGCCCAAAATGAGACACGGGACTTGATCTGATCGAAAAGCACTTCAGGGGACTTGTATATGCATTGGAAGATCCGACTGTTTCGCTCAATCCAGATGGTCCAGAGGAGAGCAAAGATAGAGGCCTTCCAAAGTGAACGTCCCGATTCCACCCAAGGGTGAGGCTGCATAGAGGAAAAGGGACAAGGAATAGATTGGGGTGTTACCCACTGCCAGTTGAAAAGGTTGAGGAGAAGCCCCACAAGGAGTAGGACAAAGGACAGTGGAGAAAGAGGTGTGCATTTGTCTGCTCCGCCTCGAGACACAAAGTGCACCGATTTGGAATGGGGATGCTTCTTCTCTGAAGGAGGTCGACCGTTAGAGCTCTTTGGTGCAAGGCCAACCAAGTGAAGAACTGAATTTTGCGTGGCACCAAGGAGAACCAAGCCCGAGTAGCTAAGGAAGGAGGAGGGACACCAAATGAGCCTATCGTGGCCTCGCAAGGGAATGAAGTGCTCATCCAGAAGCGTGGATAGGTTAATAAATTTGTCCATTTCAGCATCACAAAGGGACCTCCTGAATATGGGGCTCCATATCCATCTGTGGCCGAGAGTTTGGAACACCTCAGCCACTAACTCCTGCTGGTTCACCGAGAGAAGGAATAGGGATGGGAAGTGATCACACAGGGTTGAGGGACCTATCCACAAGTCCAACCAGAATTTGGTACAGCATCCATCGCGAGCAAGAATCCGAGAATTCAGTTTGAAGGACTTAAGGGTATTTTGCAGAGTGCTCCAGAAACCAGAGGCCCTGCTGTATGGCCTCAAACGGGGGAGCCAGGAGGAAGGTTGCAGGTTGTATTTCTGTTGCAACACCGACTTCCAAAGATGGTTGGGTTCAGTGGCATGGTGCCACCACCACTTGCCCAAAAGAGCCATGTTAGTCTTGGATGTTCTAAAACTGAAAAGTTGATGGCAACTGCAAATTGGTATAGAGTTTCAAATTGGCCTCATTTAATAGTTTTGGAAAGATTTTGTAATAATGCTTTCGTATGGGTTCTTTACTGGTCAGCTCACTGGACGCATGTGGGGCTGAATCACATTTGTAATTTGATATGTGTGGAAGCATAGGGAATCTTGGTTGGAGCACAGATTTTCACTAGAGGGTTCTTAAAACTAGTACTGATTGATGGGGTTGATGCTGAATGTACATGGTGGCTTAAATAGGAGTGCCCAACACCATGGAGTTTGCTGGGGAGGGAATATTGACTTGTTGTTACCATTCCTGGTAATATCACCTTATGTGCAAGGAAAGCAAGCAAGGCGGATGATAATTTGGCTAATACGGATGCTACTATGAATGGTTTGAAACAACAGACTTTCTGACTCCATCATGTTTGTATTTGTCTTTTCCACTTCCAACTTTTCTTTTAGGTAAGCATGAGTCAAACAGAAGGGAGTAACTTGTTTCTTGGTTGGTAAAATTCAGAACCACGACTCATAAAAATCTTAGCAGTTATTAGGAAAACAAAGTTTAATTAGTCTTCATCATTGTAGTTCTTGAATATTTAAGTGAAGCGTGATGGTTCATACCAGAAGGGTGAAGTTAAACAGCGATCTGTGAACTTCTAGAAGCCTAGAAAAGCCCTTAGATCATCAGATTGTTTTTTTAAAAAATTCAGTTTTTAACTAATCTCAAATTTCATAGCTTCAAATAGTTTATATTCTAGATCTGTCCATACACACACATAGACAAGCTCTCAGGCACATTATCTGCAAACTATGATGTCCCTGAATAACCCTTGATCAACCAAAACATACAGACATAAAAATAAAGTGACAAATTAATGGATATGAGGGAGTGAGGAGGATCACTTCCTTTCGAGCCACAACATTGAGATATCTGACAAATAGAGTATGCACATCAAGTTGAAACATCCAGAGTGTGTCAACATGTGAAGGAACAACATCTCATATTTAGAATGAAAGCAAACAATTGCTGTCTAAACTGTTAGTCCAAATTGAGGCCACTCGACTCACCAGGGTCCTGAAGCAAACGACACAATACACTTATTCTGGGACCCAGTGGTAAAAAAGACAGAGGCGGCCGCCTAGACAGCCAGGGGTCCTGGCTGCTTAGGCAACCAGGCGCCCCTAAGGTTTCAGGGGTGGGGGGCATCTGTTATGTGGGAAACTAGTAAGTGTTTGAGATTTTCAGTGTCAAGTATTTGTATTTAGAGGAAGAAGGCCCATGATTGGGTTTGTATTTCCCATTGGTTAAATTTGAAAGACATATTTTTCATTGGCTGTCTTTCGAAATAAAATTCTTAGCATTAACCACAAGCAGAATAGGGAGATGATCTCCAATAGCACACCCTTTGTGCAGGGAACTGCAGGAAAGTGTTGGTACAATGCAAATTCAAGTCTAGAAGAGGAAGTTTTAAACAGGTATGTTTTGATCATTTCGTATTGATTGGGTAATGCCTGATACATCTGGAGTATAGTATGCCGGAATGAGCTGGGCATTTCCTACGGTGGGTGGCCTTTAGGCTAGTATATAGTGGATATGGAGAAAGAAGGCAGCTAGAGGCTTTCGAAAAAAGATCAGGACAAATATGTGGTTAGGGAAAACATCTAAAGGAATTGAAATGCAAGGGGTAACATACATGACTGCTGCACAGAAAGGAGAGCCAAAAAAAGGGATCAAATACAAGATCCTTAGACACTAGTAGACTGAAAAATGCCACCCAAACATCCATCAGGTTAAAGGTAGAACGGCCCTGCAGGCTTTGGGAGAATTATGAAAATGCATCATCATCATCATCATAGCCTTTTCCCAATAAGAAATGCATAATCAATTACCTTAAAAAATAAGAAATGCATACTTCTTTTTAAGGTCATTGATTATGAGAAGTGCATAAACAAGGACCTTAAAATTGCAAAGCCATACAGTTGGTTCTTGCTCATGCAGTTTCTGATAAGTTTTTGAAGAACCAACTGTTTGAAGGAGAATCTATAGTAGTGGTCAAATGGAGTTTCCACGACCTTGCGGACATTGGGTGGAGCCTAGGAATTTCAAACACTTATGTTTTCTAACTTACCCAGAAGGAATTTGTACATGTAAGGCAGCCAAAGGAGCGGGCATAATGGACAATAGTTTGAGGCAGGATCACTTTTAACCTCCTAATCCATTTCCTCAAGGAATTATGTTCCTTAATTCGATCAATATATTGGAAAATATTGAGAATCACTCCAAGTGTGTTTTATGAATTTCTGGATAATTCCATTTCAGATCTAAGAGGGAAAACTCTATGTATTTTCTAAATTTACTGGCCAGCAATGTACTCTAGGTGCATGATTTTAAGAAACTTTCAGATTATTTCTACTACATATACTAAGTTTCTTAGGATGCATATCGGTGTGAGTCATCATCATGCAAGAAGCCCATCAATGTTGTTTGATTTAATGATAGCCTTTAGATCATTCCTCTCTGCTCACGAAGTAGGAAACTCTGTTTGCACACTAGAGTCCTGATAAATAAGGTGTTCTGGGAGATCTTTTTTTCTCCTAATATAGTAGGTTGTTTTCTCTCTCATTATAATACGTTCCCTTGTATTACATGGGACTAAAATATTCGATTTCTGTAGGCTTTTATTTTTAAATAAAATAAGTAGTACACTTCCTTAATGTATTTTTTATTTAAATTAGGAATTTGATTGTATTTTATATTAATCTCTCCTCTTTCTGTGGAACTGCCAGTTGTTGGAACGACACGAGCCAAGCCTTGATTCAGAAAGATGAAGGGACAGAGGAAACTAATTCCCCATCTCATTGGTGGAGGAAAGCGAATTGACATCTCAATTTGATACAACCCTTTCTCTTTTAGTTGGGAAGAACAGCGAAGTCCATCCGAACCGTCCAATGAATAAGAGGCGAGCAAAGCACCAATGGCGTGCGAAGCGCATGCGAAACGGGCACAGAGAAAAAGAAGTGTGGAGGAGAAGAAGCTGAACTCATTCCTTTTACTTCCCGGGCCCAAATATATGATTCCTTCTGATAGCTATAAATTTAATGATAAAATAGTGATGACTCTTTCAAATTTTATTTCATCCTAAAAGTTAATTGTTGTTAAAGAAAGTTGAACTTAAGGGTTATCACAATTTTGAAACCTCGTAACTTCAATTATTAAGTCTAAGAGAACATTAAGTTCATGTAGGCTGATTCTCTCATTGGCACAATTTTCAATGACACACAGCTCATTCTCTCAAGTCTTAATCATGATAGATATATGAGAAACTATGTTACCTACAGGAGCAATATCTGCAGAAATCAGGATGAGTCAACAAAACATTATTGGGTGCGGATGGTGAATGAAGCTGGACATCGGCCAGCCCCAATGACCGGCCAGCAAGTTCCCAAAAAATATTTCCACTCTCTCAAAACAGCAACTACTTCTCTATGAGGACATGACTCAACCTCAAGATAAGGTGACAAATATTATAATCTGATCAAGCATTCGCCTAATTTTTATCATATGATGCATGAAGAAGAAACACCGTATGCTAAAAGGAAAATTTAATGCCTCTCATTGGTTGTATATCAAGATCTCAAGAGGAGAGAACATGGAACGACAAGAACTATTGTCAGTCCATGCAGTTCCATAGATTCATTAACTCGATTTCTTGCTACACTCCTTCAGTAAACAAAATGAATAATCTGCAAGAGAAATAACAAGAATGGACTCAGGACTTGGTGGTCAAGGGTGTTGTGGCGCCACAACATGAGGTCTTCAGTTTTATTCCTATGTAGACCCCTTCCCCACTGAACTACTATCTCTCTCCCCCCCCCCCCCCCTCCTCTCCTTTCCTATTTTCCTCTAACAAAAAGGAACAAAACATAAGCAACAGAAATAACATTGAAGGAGATAGGGGTTAGAAAGATTGCTAAATTTCGACAATTGAACGACTTTGGAAGTACTACAATGCATGAATTACAAAATTTCTCTTTAGTAGATCGGTATGCTACTCATGGAAAATTCCCTAGAAAATATGCTGCTTTTGGAGATCACCAGTATGGAAGAATCTCATGACCTGAAATGATCAGACAGATAATCATGTTTGATATTTGTGACCCATAGAGAGTTGTAACTGTGTACAAAGCCCTCTACTTACAAGTAACAAACTGACAATCACATATGTGCTTGTTAATAACAGGTTGACAAAGCCCCTATAAAATAACTACATAAGAGGCTAGAGAGTCAGAGAATCACCACTCCAAAGAAACCAACCAAGCAGGACATAAACATATATAACACAGAAAATAGCAAGACACTCCAAGTCTAGAAGTTCAGAAAAGAGTACATCATCAGCATAAAAGACAGAATACAAAAATTGTAACTACAAGTCACAAAAATATGATTTACGGGAACACAATCGTTCATTCCACAACGCTATAGCTTTTGAAGCCCAAAGATCAATTTCATAGGATTCTAATATGGAAAATGGTTTGACAGGGCTGCAACCCTATCAAATTAAGTAAATCTTCACCTCATAATTCATCAAAAATTACAATGCAAACATTGGAAAACCTTTACATCGATCATCTCGGCTTGAAAATATTAGTTGTGAAAAAAAAAAAGGATTTTAAGCACAAAAAATTGTGTATATTATACCAAATTATCTAGACCATTCATTTCATACTAAATTAAAAGCTTGTAGATCCGCAAGATCTGTATATCTATTGAGTATCAAAGTTCATCATCAGAGTTGGCAATTGATTTAGATCCATCATGGAGATTTCTGTTGTCAAAGGTGCTTTCTAGACGAGGATTTGAGGTGAGGCTTTATTTTGTTTCATAAAGCGTAGGCCCTATAGAACCTCCATCCTTCTAATATTGAGTCATAAAAAAAAAAAAAAGGAACTACCCAATTCAAAAAGGAAAAAGAAAAAGCCAAGCTATCACCCAGCTTAATTCTTACTTATAGAATTCAGAAGGAAAAAGAAAACGATAAAACAAGAGATTGACCATGAAATAGATGAGCCATCTCCGTTATAAGATCCCATAACAAACAGCATTATTTCAACCAAATACCAACCAGATCAGGATTCACAACAGGAAACCAAAAAAGGAAATCAAACAATCAACAAAAAAAAGAAAAGATAAGCACTGAATTCAAAAAGGAATTTACGAATTGAAAGGAAGAAAAAGTATGGGGAAACAAAGGCAAAAAAAACAAAAAAGATGTACCTCTTGTTCCATCAATAAGAGCCTTGGCAACACGTAAAGGGGTTTTCTTGAGACCATCTCTATTAAAATCTTCACCCAAACCCTGTAACAAAACCTTAACAGCGCCCTCAATAACAGAAGTCTCAGAGTCCTCCACTTCCACCTCAAGCAACCCACAAAAACCACACCCAAACCCTAATTTCATCTCATTCTCAAACTCCCCTGTAAAGCGCCCCTCATCCAAAGCACCCATTGAAAGAGCACACGAACCCAATCCTAACCCTCAAACCCAGATCCCAAAAACAGATATATGTGAGAGAGAAACAGGACCACAAAGCCTACTTAAACAAGTAGAAGACTGAAGAAAGAAGGTCTCAACCAACTTTGAATGATGATTTCCTAGATAGAGAGAGGTCCCAACTCTCAACTTTGAACGATGATTTCCTAGAGAGAGAGAGGTCGCAACTCTCAACTTTGAATAAACAATTGGAGGGAGGGAGAGAGAGAGTTGGGAAAATGGAAGGCTGCAAACGCTTTGGGAGGCGTGTGTACTTGAATGCTTTGTTTTGGGTAGGATGAGGGGCCTACTCCTATCCCACTTTTTCTATGAAATAGATTTCTTACCCAATCCAAGGAATGAACGTCTTTCTCTCTACAATTTGGTGGGTTGCAATTTTCTCTCTCTAAAAACTTCAAAACTTCAATCCTTGACGAGAGGTGGTTGCCATTTTCTCTCTAAAAAAACTTCAATCCTTAACGAGAGGTGGTAGGAGGTGGGTTTTGTTGGCAGATTTACCACCCCAATTATCGGATCCAAATTGTCCAGGTCCCTGAATAACCATAAATTATAATGTAAAATTTAACTCTCTCTCTTTCTAAAGTAAACTGAATTCCATCATATCACTATTTTTCTCTCTCTATCTCTCCACCGATCCGTATTTATCTTCCTAATTTTCTTCTACAAAGTTTTCAGAATTCCAGCTCAAAGCCTATCCCTTTCGTCTCACTCTAAAATTTGTCTGTTGTTTGTTTTGTGGAAACTCTCGTCTCTTTTTCTCTCTCTAAAGTCGTCCAGCGTGAAGGTTGTGGCCCATAATTTGGGTGAGATGATCTTGGTGTCTTTGTGCGCAACCTTTGGATATTCACTGCTACGTTAAGGTACGATGAAAACCTCGTACATTGCTTATATATCTTTTGCGGTGTAAATGTTGTCTCCTCTCCTCTCCTCTAGGGAGAACACATAAGTACGGATTCTATTCTACGCTTTTCGCCATTGTGAAATTCAGTGGATGAAAGTACGCCGTAAACACCCCCTCTCGAAATTTTGGTGTAAGAGAATTTGTAAAAACCTTAATAACGAAAGTACAAATCTAAGTCTGATACAAAAAAATGTCCCAAGCTTATCCTGAGTTGTGGTTTTTCAATGTGTTTCGAGAATCACTCGAATCAAACCCATTTTAATTAACAAATTAGTGCCTCTAGAAAATTATTATAATACCCCATTATGAACAAATTAAAGCCTTGGGAAAACAATTATAATGGCGTTGTGTGTCGTGCAAGGGCTGCATGCCTCGCCATGAGTCGTGCGACCTCATCGGCCATGATTTGCTTGCTCTATTTCATTTTTATAAGCATTTTTTAGGCGGTTTAAAACCAAATATCCTAAAAAATTAAAAAATGTTATACTCTTGATTACATATGGGCCTTTGGATCAAATTAACTATTTTCTATTATAACATTAGACAAAGCCTATAAATATCCCATCTAAAATCCCAGAAAAATGACACTAAAAAAAGCCCAAAAATTAGTTAGAAAAATCCCTAGAAATTACTGGTTAAACCTCAGAAAAAATTTCTCAAAATTAAGAAAAACTTTAGATAAATCCTAAAAATTCAAGAAAAATTAGAAAAAAAATCCTTGAAAATCCCAAATTTGTAGTAAACCTTAAGAGACTCCAAATTCCTTAGGAAAATATAACAAACTATCTCCCAACCTTAGAAATAATTAAGGAAATTCATACACGAGCTCCTTAAGCCTTAGAATCATTAGATCTAGGTAAAATAACTCAAGATCTACCAAAATCCAGCAAGCAAAAAGTATTCAAAAAAGATATGGTGGCACGAGAAGAGTGGCTTGATTTGAATCTGAAACTCCAGATTTCAAGTGATATCTTTTATTCTATTTAATTTATTATTATTATTTTTACCTTAGTATTTAGATGTTTTTAAGGTCTTTATTTATATATATACATATATATATGGAAATGACATTGTGAGACCCTGCCATATTTAATGGCATAAGATCCCTAATCTAAGCTGTTGGATTAATCTTTAATCTGAACACAAGATTAAGGTGTGACCAACTAACCTGTAGAGAAGGTAAAAGGTCAATGCCTCTCTCGTCTTAAAACCTCATCCTCTCTTCTCTCTCTCTAAATATACTCTCATTGAATCTCTCATCTCTCTCTAAAACCAAATAAAATGTAAATCTCTTCAATATCTCCCTCACGGGCAAGAGAATGGAAAAGGAGTCCACCTCTCTAAAGACAAGCACAAGAGTAATGAAAGGTTTTTTCTGTACTCTAAAATCTAGTTCCAATGGTGGGTTTTCTCCAACCAGGACTAGGGGCATACGAGTAGTGGAATGCCTTTTCTCTCTCTAAAATCTAGTTCTAAGGGTTTTTCTCTAACCAAAACTAAGGTACAAAAGTGCTGAAAGGAATTTTCTCTCTCTAAAATAAGGGCACAAATTTATCGCAAACAAGGGCACAAATTTTTATCTAGCATATATTATCTCTCTAACCCTTGTAGGAGATGAGAGAGAGAGATATTCTAGGTGGGGTGTGCCCCTCTAAGAGATGTGGGAGAGAGAAGAGAGATGTGTGTAAGAGAATGGGTGGAGGGAACCTCTTTTTATAGTACTTCAATGAGAATTAGAGTTTCTTAGGGTTTCCATATGATCCGCCACTTTAGTAAGATTGAATTTTCATCATTGATCTTGGGTGACTTGTGGTGAGAGATGTAAGCCCTTTATTCTATAGATTAACCAGTAAGATCGAATGGAAGATGTTAGAACCTTTATCCTTCATTTCCTAAACTAATTTTCCATCAATTAAATTAAATATTAAAATATCAATTAAAATAATGTACTTTCTGTACTCATGCATAAGCCTCTTCATACTTTCCTTCTTTGATTTCAAAACCTCTATAAAATCAAATATTTCCAAAACATAATTCCTTAAGCCTCGAGTCATCTTGGCTTGAGTATAAAATTTAGAAAGTAGAAAGCAGTGGGGCATGCCACCCAAGGTGGATTCCCATGGCCCCTACCAAATTGCTATGGTGAGCTCAAGTGCGCTAATGGGCCCCCATGCAATAATATATATTTAAAAAGTAAATACATAATTTTTAAGAATTATAAATTTTACTTGAATATTTAAAACAATGATAATTCAATATATCTGGTTTTATAAATTCAAATTACATAAATAAAATACTCAGAGAATCAGAAAAATTCAAATAACAATTCTAAAAATCAAATATCATTAAAACAATTATAATTAAATACTTTTGATGGGAATTTGATCCATATAATCTAGGAATAATCACAACACTAGAGCACTCCACCTTCTATTGTGGATCACGATCTACTATTGCTTTCTCAAAATGACCAAGTGATTCCCATGATCAATAACCTATCGTAAAGGCTCATGATTGGGCCACCAAAGTCAGTCAATGTATAATGGGATGTAATCTCAGTATGTGGATTTCATGTTCTCTTTTAGAGACGAACCAACGTCACATAGACCTGATACAACCACAACTCTATAGTGCATAGGAGTAATCTCTTGCACATGTACATGCTTCACATTGAAAGGTGGTTCGCTTCTTTTATACGACTATCATATGTGCATGCCGTGTGATTGTATACGGATGAGGCTTTAGTCCCCGTCTTTGAGGGCCACCATCACTTACAAGGGCTACATAGACCGTCGGCTTATTCATCCAGGCATACTCCGATCTCATCAAGGGATTACCCATTATAACATTTATCGACTTAATCTCTATGCACAAGTAACATGTGTTTTCTCCAACAGACTGACTAGTACATCAAGCTCAATTTGGTATCAACAAATATCATTTGCTTAGTATGATCCACACATGACCACACTCCCATTGAGTTCAAGTTCCATTAAATAAAATGTTTAATTATAAGCACTTATAAGGCCTTTAATGACCATACACACACCCCAACATCTCCCACTTGGCTTTTGAAGACCTTACATTATTTCTTCCTCACTTTCTCTCATACCTATCTCTCGCACATGTCTCACAAATACATTAGGTGCAAGCCCCTTTGTAAGAGGTTCTACTATCATTACTTCTGTAGGTATATAGCTAATCTCAATCCATCATAATCTCACCTCATTTCGCAAGTGGTAGAAGCAAGGATTCATGTGCTTGGAGTTCTTGTGGAAACATAGCTCTTTTGATATACAAATCGCAATTGTATTGTCACAGAAAATCCTCATTGCCTCATAACGCACGGGGTCAAAATCAAGGCGATTAAAAAATTTATTAATTCATACGACCTCCTTGGCTGCCAAACATCATTCTACGTACTCAGTCTCCATAGTGGACAACGCCACTGCTTCTTGTTTCTTTGACTTCCAAGAAACAGTCCCTCTTTTAAGCAAGAACATGTTGAAATCTTGAGGGAAGAGATGGACCACTCTCTTAAGATTACTGATGGTGTCGTGAGATTTGAGATCGCAGAGATCATGCCCTTTCCCAAAATAATGAGAATTCAAATATGATTTTGTGGTCTATCTCTTCATGGTCATGAAACCCTTCTTAAAGAGGGATAGAAGGGGGTCATTCTCCAACGTTAGACTTTCCTCTTGAAATCTCTGAGAAACATGGTCCTGTAATCTAGGGAAGTGGGTGATTATTTTATACCTGTTAGATAACGACACTTTCTCTATATAAGAAGCCTCCCTATTTTAGTGATACGCATTAAATTATAAGAGAGATAAATATGACACGTTTAAAGGCCCCTTGGCCACACATATACATACCAACATCTCTCACTTGGTCATGAGAGCTAGATATATTGAAATATCATAAAGTTTTTACCACTTAATGAGTTTAACATTTATGAACATATTTTTTTCATAAGGCTTTTCATTCTAGTGCGGTTATACATCTCATAACAAAAAACATCCAAAGTCATATTATGAGGTTTCTCATGCTAATGCGGCTTTTCTTCACATGACCAAGGCATCAAAGAAAAATATCCAATTTGTGAGTTCTAGAGTTAAATATTCCTAGTCTCATCAAAGCTACATGTTTTGATAGTATTTCTATACCTAACCCTTTTGTCAAAGGGTCTGCAATCATATCTAACGATGGCAAATAACTTACAGTTATTTCATTCTTTCCAATAATATTATAAATATAATGATAATCAATTTTAATGTACTTACCCTTGAAACTATAAGCTCCATTTCTAATTGATGAAATATCAGTTTGATTATCACAAAAAAATTTAACAGGTCTATCGGCTATACCCAGCTTCAAATCATTTATGAAGCGTTTAATCTAGACGGCATAAGTTGTAGCAAAGCTACAAGCAATATACTTGGATTCCATAATATACTGAGCTGCACAACCTTGTTTCTTGCTAGACCAAGAAATGCATCCACCTCCAAAGATGAATACAATTTCTGAGGTTGATTTTCTATCATCTGAGTCTTCTGCAAAATCTGCATCAGAGTACCCAGTAACCTCTAAATTGTCAGCTTGGAAGCACAACTTGTAATTTTTATTTTTTTAAATATATATGAGTATCCTTTTTACGGCTTGCCAATGAGCCATCCCAGGATTACTTTGAAATCTACTTATAAGACCATATACATAACTCAAATCAGGTATTATACACAACATGACATAATTTATGCATCCTACAGCTTGAGCATATATAATTCTTTCCATTTCAGCTT